TCGCTGTCCAGCTTACAGCCGAGCCACAAGGAGGTGGACGTGCGCGGGAAACGCCATCATAGGTCCGAGTTTGCCAAACTCAAGGCGCAACGCCGACTTCCTTCGTATTGTTACTCTGCAACGTATAGATTTCATATCACGCTCCTGCGAGCTCTGTGGTCTCTTACACATTGAATCTGCAATCACAGCAGCTCAGAGCAATAGCTTGAGCTCGGCTCATGGCCCTCCGGCTTTCCTGGCTACTGCTGAGAAGGGCGGGACGTACGACAACGCGGAACGTCATGACCCCTCTCATCATAAGTGTCCATGACGTCTGGGTAGTCTTGCCGAAGTGGCACTCCAAACTCCCACGAGTTCTCGAAATTTGGGTACCTCCGCCACTTTACAAGATACTTGTTTTGACCCTGTCAACGACTTTGACCTACAAGTCGTTCCACGTGGTAGTGGACGCCATCTTTCTCGTCGAGAAGAGTCGGTGGCGGACGATGATAACCTGGTCGATCGCCTTCTAGTTACTCGTGATGCTCTTCAAGTGTTGGCGGACAAGGTCTGCTGTGATCAAGACACCGCTAAGCATTATGCTGGGGTCGCATACCACTGTGCGGAATGTCTGTAGAGCTTGAAGCACTTTTTGCACCGACTACATCATGTTGATGACTATCACGCTCTGTCGGAGTGGCACCTAACCTTCGAGTTGACGAATGCATCGCTTTGTGCAACGTTGGAGCGTCTGGCGCCTTTGCAGATGGGGATCGTTTCACTCCGTACTCAAAACCAGTTGCTGTTTCAGCTTCTAAGTGGACGAGCGCTTGTGGGCGCCGCTCCGACGCCAACTCTTTCGCGTTCACTTGCGCCGGATTCCGATTCGGATTGAGTAAGCCCACATAAAACAATGGGTGGGTGCGGATCTATTTAAAAAGATTTGACATATACGCAAGGCGTTGCTTGGCCACAACCTCAAAATATCCAATAAACCGTGGATAGGGCATCGTCTCAAAGACAGCAGAAATTGCGTGTATAGGAAGGTATTTAGCATTTAATATAACCAGGTTTCCGACCTCAATCTTTTCGACAAGTCTTCTGCTTTTTGCGTCTGCATATTCTTTCTGCATGTCTTGGCTGTCAGTCATCGCATCGCGAACGTGTCGTAAGGCACTCAGTCTGGTGGACAAGAAGTCATCGACATTTTTACGGACTGCGAGGAGGCTGACATCAGCTAGCCGTTCGGCTATTCCGCCTCCACCAAGCCCTGAGCCATGGGATGGTAGTGTTTACGGTGCGCGAGGATTAACGAGTCCATTCATTTATAACGACGTGTAGCCGATAGATATATACACAGCATTGTTCAGAGCAAACTCTACAAGTGGCAACATGGCGGTCCAGCGCTTCGGCATCCCAGCGCAGACGCTGCAAAGAACGTATTTATCTACTCAATTCATGCGCTCAGATTGACCATCGATCTGCGGATGGTCCGCTGTTGACATAGTCAACTTGGTGCCCATCATATTGAAGATTGTCGACCAAAACGTTCTAGTGAAGCGCGGTCCTTATCAGAGACAATTGATTTCGGGAGTCCAGCTATCGTAAGACACGATCTAAAAACAGCGTTGTTGTACCAACTCCGTCGGTGGTGTCCGGCACCAAAGCAAGATGAGTCATCTTGTTCAAACGATCCACAAAGACCACAACACCCGTGTTGCCTGCCGAGGCTTTCGGCAGGCCACATACGAAGTCCATACTCATGGACTGCCAACACCCTGTGGGTACCGGTAAGCTAACGAGCGACGCCGCCGCATTCGGAGTGGGCTCCACCTTCTGACACGTCTCATACGTGCGCAAATATTCGCTCATCCATTTGTTCAGTTGGGCCATCAGAAGTGGTAGCTCACAGAGCTGTACTTCTTCTCATGATCGAGATGACCATGTCGTGGGCCTCATGGAGAATACAATATATCAAATCCTTATCGAGTGGAACCACAATTCGTGGCGTATCCATCGAAGCGATGCTATAAAAAGCAGCCCATTATTCAGCGAATATCGATGTATCCATGCACGCATCCGCACCGACACTTATTTGTCCAAGTCTCCAAACTTCTTCTCCCGGGAGCCTGTAGCAGCGCAGCACACATACTGTCACCCGCATACGCAGTGCGGATCAAATCCGCGACTGACGACGCCACTGTCGCGACATGAGCAAACCCATTATCTGGTCTGTGTGAAAACGCATCGGCCAAAGCATTCTGCTTTCCTGGCTTATACTTCAGCTCGAAGATATATTTTGCGAAGTAAGAGAGGCACCTGGCTATCCCCTGCAAGAGATGAGACAACTGAATCGCAGAGCGTGATGACGCAAGACCAGTGAAGATCGCAAATAGCTTTGAACCAAGCAGATGCACCATGAACTTGACAAGTGCATACTTCATCGCAAGGAAAAACTTGTCGTGGACAGGGTAGTTTCTCTCCGAAGCCTTAAGCTGGCAGGTTTCGAACGCGATCACCAAATCTCGCCCCTCGGCATCTGCTTGTAGCAATGCTCAGCCGATGGCAAAGTCCAAAGCGTCAGACGACGATCGGCGTTTGGCAACGCCAGTATTGGTGCATGAACGAGGCTGTCTTTGACCCTGTCAAAAGCCTACCGATGCTCGGTGTCCCAACACCAATCTGTACCCTTTCTAAGGAGGTTAGACAACGGCCGTGCCATTTCCGCATAATTTGCGATATACTTGTGCAAGTAGTTGGCGAGGCCAAGCCACTTGCGCTAGTCCTTTTGCTTCTTTAACACCGACCAGTCCACAATGGCCTTGTCCTAACCGGGATCCGATCGAAGGCCACGCTTCCCAATGAATCGCCCTGAACAGGGATTTGTTGGCGTCGAAAATGCACCTTTCGGCATTAGCTTACAGCTTATTCGTCTGCATGCACTCGATGTGGTTTCCCTCATCCGTCCTCTTCTGCCCCGCATGACTGTGGCTGAAGATATCGTCAAAGCATGTCAGTGCATACGTCTGGCGGAACCTGCACAATTGCGTTAAAAAACGATTAAATGTTGCTGGTGCATTTGACAGTCCTTCGGGCATCACCAGCCACTCCCAGAGTATGCCGCTCGGAGCGCTCACCACTGTTAGCGGAATATCT